ATGTTCCCCATGATGCCGCCTCCATTTGCGCCCCGCGGCTACTTCATGCCCCCACCGCCTCCGCACTTCATGATGCCTCCTTTCCGTCCTTCAAGCCCTGGTGAAGGACCCATTATCACAGGACCTGAGTCCATTTACGGGACAATTCCTCGACGAAGCGCCTACGAGGAACCCGTCTACATGCCAGGATCACACGCTGGCCCACCTGATTCCTCCTATCAACCGGCAAACTATCCCAGCGACCATTACGAGTCTTATTATGACACCTACAAAAGGAAAGCTACAAAGAAGGTAGGATTCTGGTACTTTTCAGCCACAGTAATAGAATACGTTCTTGTTTAGGATAGTATGTCTTCCCGGCAAGACTCTTCATCCGTTTGGGAACAGTATGAATCTGGTATCTACAGAAAACCACACTTGAATGAAAAAGCTTTCGGAGGAACGCTAAGGTAGGTCAAAAGATGCCCTCTTGTCTCAGCTTATTTTTAACTTACAGATCAAATGCAGCAAAAGAGACGAATAATACTACTCTGAACAGGAATGGCAGTGCTGAACTTGGTACCCAAACTGTAGAAGCGACGGTAAGTATATTGAACTTCCTTATCGACATAAGTATTTTTGAACCTTTTTCGCACAATTTATCGTTTAAGAGTGGTCATAGCGCTTTTTAGTGCCTTCTAAAAAGTAAGAAGAAAGAATATGAGTAAAAGAATTGAGTAATGGTGGCTGCTAATGACCATTTTTAACGAATACTTTAAACCATCTGCTTGAGAACTATCACTTCCAGGTCTCACGACCGGATACGCCTCCAGTCGATTACGAAGCTTTTGAGAATATGAAGATCAAGCACGAAACAGGCAATGGACGAACTACAGTATACTAAAACTCGACAAAAACGATAGTGTTCATCTTTGTTGTGCATCATGCCGATTTCTCTTCGCTTCAGAGGTTTTTTGGCCAGATTGCTCATTTTCGAGAGCAGTCCGACATTTTCTTGCCATCTACACATGTATTAAGTACGCATGAAAGAGGAAATGGAAAGTTTCACAGATTTTTATAGTTTCGACCCTCGGGTTCATCTAAAGGCTGAAGTAGATAAGATACATAGCTGTAATCACACTGCCTAAGGTTATACTTATTTCTATTGTTCAGACAACACAAACTGTAACAAACTATCAGTGCCAAATGTGATTTTCTTCCTTCAAGTGCGATAATTTGACATTGAACAATGACCGAGTCTAATAAATGTGATTTTCTATAGTACTGAACTTCAACAGTTTGGATACAGATTGTGTAACGACTATCTAGGAACAGAGCTTGTCCTAACAAGCTGCGAAAAATCCTTCCGTACAAAGCTGAATGTCTGTTTATGTATGTCTGTATGTATGTTGTCTGTACGTATGTTCCGAATAGAAAATTCCATTT